AGAAGCCACACTGGCCCTCATTGCACGAATGGGTGGGCAGCCTTCCTACACAGACCTTGAAATCATCACACATCATTCAAAGGGTTTTACAAGGTTTCGCTCTGCGGTCAGAGTGTCCATCGCAATTTCAAGGTAATTTGGGGGAAGCTGTAGGATTAACAGTTGTGAATATGCTGTTTAATATACACTTTTCTAGCTGTCTGACTGAATCTAGAACTTCTCATGTTCCATCCTGTTTAAACTGTGCATTTTTTTGTAGTCATGAAAACAACAGATACTGTGTATGGTGACGAGTTGAAGAGAGCATAGGTAAAATCTGTAATAGGAATAAGGTGTTTGAGATGCTCAGCAGTCTGATTCTAGTTGAAAGTCTCTTGGCTCTGTATTCGATAATCAATTAACGATAAAATGTATTGGGTGCAGTCATAGCTTTAGAAAAAAATACCAATAATCAAGTTGCTGAAATGCTCAAAAATAGTGACGAAATGCATAAGCTGTAATGTGCTGTGTCACACCTCAGTTCTGAAAGTACTCCTTTGTATGCCTGATTTCAGCCATGTGTGGAGTCTGTTGAATTCACAAGACAGTGGGGCCTCAGACTGAGGATGAATAAAAGAAAAAGTGCAAGCTATTACTATCCTAGTGCTGCTATGTTGCAAGTAAACCTCCTTTACAAAGGCTTGAGCCCCCAGATATTTTTGCTTGCTATTGGCTTGACGCTTTTGTGTAGTGTGAATTCAAGGAGCTATTTATATAGCTGAAGCAAGACTTCTACTCCGAACACACTGCTGCTACTAGTTTTTTTGTGATGCAGTGGGGCAGAATGTTTATTTAATGTGACTCTGTATATTTAAAACGTGGAGGCTGTATCGTTCAGGTGCTTGACCTATTTGCTGTGTGCTTTACTTGTGCAACACCTCTGGAAACACTGGGACTGTAGATCTTGAGAACATTTTTCTTGTTGTTTTTACATTCTAGGGATGTGTATAAGGATGTTCTCTACTTAATCTTCAGGTTTTAGAAGCCCATCTATTCATTTTGCTTGTTCTTTAAGAAATTCTTACACATACCAGAATATAGCAGATTTTTTAAATGACTACTTTTGTGTTTTTTTTGTTTCGTTTGTTTTTTTGAAATGCAGAATGAAGTTCCTGGTTCGTCGATGGCACAGAGTTACGGGTTCTGGTATACTAAGTATCAATAGGGATGTCTTTAGCCAGAACACAGGTAAATCTTAGTCCAGTATTGGCTGAAGAAAAAGTATTCATAAGTCACACCACTGCTTTAATGAAAGTGTTTTTCTAATCTGCATTTTCTTCAGGTGGAGTGAATAGGTTACTGTTCCCCCTTCCTTTTGCTGTAATTGCTAGGATTAACTTATTTCTCGGGTTTCTTATTAGACGCTAAGCTGTTCACTTTCTCTTCAATCTCGTTTTGCTTCGTTGTGGACAGGATTTAAAAGCTGCCAGAGGCAGCTTTCCCCCTGGACTGTGTTTCTCACAACAGTTTTACCTGCCAAAGAGGGGACACTGAGGAAAAGGACAGATGGAAGAAACTTAGCAACGACAGGTCCCCACAGAGACAAGGGCAACAGAGCCTGTTGAAGTCCTCCCTGGCCTTTTTTTCAAAATCCTAACTGGACAGAAAGTCTGCCACTCCCTCGTTAAAGTTCAGGAAACCTGGTTTTCTGTTTGTTTTTGGTGGGGGCCTAAGGAAAATCGAAAGCCTTTTATTAATTTCTGGCTATCTAGGTCTGTTCTAAAAGCTTGTGCTTGCTCTTGATTATGCATCAGCCCTACTTTTAACAAATATCCTTATTTTGTGATATGCAAACAGAAGGTTTGCATATGAGATTCCCAGTAAAGTGCAAAAAGATCTTCTTTCTTTTATGCTTTCCAAGACATTGCTATTTATACTTTTAGGTAATGAATTACGGCCTGATTCGTTCTCTGGTGGCATGGATCTTTATGGAGAACAAAGACATTCTTACAGATCCAGGTCAGACATGGAGTCTCCCAGATCTCCTGTAAATTTTCAGCATAAGTACGTTTCATTTTACATTATTATTCTTCTTCAGAATACCATTTACTAAATAAATGCATTAGTGCTCTTATTGCTAAGGTTTGTAACCACAGATGCCATAAGTTTTTGGGGGGTTTTTGGTTTTTTTTTTTTTCTTTCCCCTCCTGTAAGGAAACATAGTAAATTATGTTTCAGGCCTTAAACGTGCGTTTTACCCATAGCCTGAATAAGGCCTAGCCTTGCAGGCTTTTGCTTTTCTAAGTTATGTAGGTTTTTGGACGTGGTGAACAGTCCATTGGCTAGAGCTGTTGCAGATACACGTCTGCAGAGTCTAGGCTTTGCAACCGAGCGAACCACTGCCGATTGTCCGCATTTCTGGTTGGTAGCTTGGTGTGGTTTTGGTAACTGCTGCCTCAGCTGCCCTCATAGGAAAGGGAGAAGCAGGGCAGCTCATTAGCTGAAAAGGGTCAGGTCATCTAAGTTACTGCGAGCTGTGACAAATTGCTATGGCCTAGGGGCCATGGTTGGAACCTGCTTGATAGCTCTCCTCCTTGTTTAAACTCTTTTCGTCAGCTGTACGCTAAGCTGTGATACCAGCCGTACGAACACAGTGAAATCAGTTATTTTTCACCAAGGGCAAGGTTTTTAAGAGCACTGTCAGCCTTTGATTACTTCATAAGGGGTCTCAGCTTTCCTGGAAATCAGATTCTAGCAGATCTAGCTCTTCATTTCGTATGAACCACCTAAACATTTGTAATCGTACTTTGTGATGACAGTTGTTTACATGGAAAAAGATATTTAATCCATTTTAGCTGCTTTGACTTATAAAAAGTAATAGAAGAGAGCCAGAATCCTATACAGATGGCTACGCCCTTGTTCACACAAGCTTCGTAATAGAAAAAGCAAACTTGAATCTACTGCTGCTTCGGCTGGAGTTGCAGTAGGAATGGGCTGGTCAGTCTTTGTCCCAAAGGAACGAGCAACAAATCGGATGCAGTAGAAAGAACAGGCACCTGGGAAGGGCAGTTTCCCTGCGGGAGGCAGTATAGTGACTCGGGCAATAAATGGCAGGGAGATTAAATGATGTGATGGCTACCATATGGGCAAGTCAACACACAGGCGTTCAGTGAAGTACCTCTTCTTACACTATTTTGCTATACCTGATGATGCTTTAAAATAAAACAAAAAAAATAGCTTTGCTTTTTGAAAACATCTGTGTGTTTTGGCCCCCAGGTTCCACGGCATGCATGCTGATTTAAACCCAGTCTCTTTTGCGTGTTCTCAGCTGCAGAACTATGACCCTGAAAGAGCTTTAACAGATTATATCAATCGGCTGGAGGCACTACAGAGGCGACTTGGAAGTGTGCAGTCAGGTAAATACTTAGGCAGCCCTCTCCAGGATTTCTGGGTAGCAGAAGACAGTTCTGAAAGCATATGCTGGCTCTCTGAGATACATAGCAAACTTTAATTTTTTAGGCATATTCAGGCTTAAACAAGAAGTTATTCTTAGCTGTAGCAAAAAACTCATCAGAAGAAAATTACTAAATGCTTTGAAGATGCATACAGGTGTCCTTTAATTATAGATTTTATCAGTAATACTTTCCTGGCCTGTAATAAATGTGCAGCAAGGATTCATTTGATGTCTTACTAAGAGTTTAAGCTAGATGGTAAAAAATGTACCCAGAAGACTGGCAGGGAGGGAGTGGGGTTGCAAGGGGCATTTCTTCTCCTGTCACTTGGATTAGAGAAGTTACAGCCTTTTTGTCCCATAAATGATAATCACTTTTGTGCTGTAAAAGAAATACATCAAGAAAATTGTCAGGTCAATGAGATGTTGATTTATCAAACTTGATTCAAGTCTTTGGCAGTTACTGTGTTAAAGTTTTACTTTAACATAAAATCTATTATTTGAGGGAATGTTGTTCTTAACAGAATTTCTGTATAAAATCTGTCATTCTTACTTATTCATCTAAATACCAGTAGGTTTGTGAACGATTGTCTACTTATTTCAAGTGTTCTGATTAAAATCTCTCTCCATCTCGCAGGTTCCACTTCATATACTCAGTTGTACTCTGGCATGAGAAGATAATAGCCTTTCAACATCTCCATCACTGGTAGTGATGTTAACGGATTGCCTTCTGTAAATCTGTGCTCTTTCTGTGCTTTTATATAATGTGTATATTGTGGGACCAATATGAACACAGCTGTATGATTGTATAGTTCCATCCTGGCACACCCACAGAGACTGGGGTTTATGTATATAGGCACTTTGTGTTCATGCAAAAAAAAAAAATCATCAAATCTCGTGTATATTTGTGGAATGCTAATTTAAATGATTAACTTATGAAGTATGTATTTATCAAAAGGGTGCAAAGATAAAACGTGTATTAATGAAATTGAGCTACATCCAGTGAAGTTCACTTGCACTTTTTCTGGCAAGGCTACTGAAGTTACATGCTTCTGTCGTAGTATTTGCTACTGGCAGTGCAGACAGAATATCACTTGTAGAGACCTATTTTTGTAACGGTAGAAGCTTTGAATTTTATGGGTATTTTGTCAAAGTACTGAAATAAAGATGACTTCATCCTTTTAACTGAGTTCTTGAATGTAAAGACATTTCAAGCAGTAGAACTGCTCCCTTACTCACATAGCAAAGCCTGCTTCTCTTTGTGCTCTTCCCATTTTTGGTGGCTGCAGCTTACTTTTCATGGACTCCAAAAGGGCAGCTACTAACTAGAAGACAAGACAGCTGTGAGCTTGTTTTCTGAAGACTGATCACATCCTGCAAGGCTGGAAGGGAGAAGATTCCAGTCTAGCAGTTGCTGTGAGTGATGGGGGAACCTCTGTAACAGGGGTTACACACATGTTTAGAATAGGAAAAACAGGGCAAGCCCCTGCTGCAGTAAACCCTGAAGAAAGGGAGAACAAGTTCCTTGTGTGATTATTTCGTACTCAGTGTGGAATAAATTTAATTCAACTGTTCTATGAGCCAGAGCTCATTACCCTTTATTAGCATTGTTTAAACAAACACCATTTAACAATCCTGTTTGAGTCAGTACAAAGGGAAACAACATTCACACTTCATTTTCCTTGACCACTCTATACATGAAATAGGTATTCACAAAGTAAGTTGTTTGTACCATTGTCCTGTTAACCTGATACAAGTATGAAAAGTTTTCAAAATTGTTTCTAGAAAAGGATTTGCTGGTTTTTGAACCTAACCATTTTACAGCTGCTTCCAATGAGACATACATAAAAATTATTTATTCTCAGAAAAATTTCTTCTGCAAGTATTTTTGTAGTCTGCTCAGTACTCATCATCTGTACTGTGACAATGTTTAAATAAGCATGTAGGAATTTTCAGGAATGAGCCAAGACCAGAGACAGTTCACTTCACTTCAGTAGTTGCAGTCCTGTTCTCAAAGTAGAGCACCAAGGAAGTACCTTCCACCTTAGTGCCTGTTACCTGATTTACCGGAATCAGATACAGAGGCAACATACGTAGTCTTACCCCTTAAGAGGGAAAAAACAACTTCTAACCATGTTTTAGAAACAAAGATATCAGTTTGTAGAAATATCTTGTTATTTCTTCAGCTTTAAGGAAAGAGTTGGCATGCACTTCAAGTGTGTTACACAAAGAGAAGAGACAGACAGTTTTTCATTTAAAAGTTGTAAAACAAGCAATTACATACAGCAGCATTAAATGGTATGGAAAAACAAATTTAATAAATGCAAAGAACATCACAGTTGGCAGATGGCTTTCATACACAGTAGATAGAACAGTTCCCATTTGCCCTGCATTTTGCCATAGTTTTATTCAAAAGTGTGTTAGTTCACGCAACTTAAATAGATAGATAAGGTTTTTTTGCTCCAGAACTCAGAGTGACCTCCTCTTATATCTGATTACTGGGTTATTAGGTGTGTGTATCATTGTTGTATAATTTATAGTTGGGAAATAGTCATTGATGAGATCAAACTCATATAAACGAAGCAAAGTAGACCAAATGGTTTTAATCTGAACATAAGCAAAATTTTCTCCAATACAGCGATGACGGCCTAGAAGGCAATACAAAGCAGTTAGAATACTTGTTAACTCAGCTATAAAATAACCTTTGACAATTGTAAAATTTTACATGAACTGTAATCTTGTCTTTCTAAACTGGCTTTGAGCCAGCAAACATTATGTAACTACATGAAAGCCTTGTTTTTATAAATTTTCAAAACAAGGAACAGACTGAATAGTTTGGATAAGATTCTATTGTTCTGTTCTCACCAGAGTGAGAATTTAGGCGATATTGAAGGAGAGTGTACAACATTCTGAAAAGATATCAACTGCAACCGTACTGCAGCCATATTTGCAAACTGTTTTGAGTTATGAAGCTGTGTACATTTTATTCTACCTTAAAATGACTTCCTATTAACATGTTTTAACCTTGACTTAAGGACTTGAGTCATTTAAATATAACACATGCTAACCTAAAAATTTTTTTTAATAGCTGTAAATAGTACTTGGAATAGCAATTACTAAATGCAAAACTAAGGATCCTATCAATCAATCAACTGCATTTTTTCAATGGCATTTCCACAGCAAGCAAGCTTTCAGGCAGCAATAGAAAGAAGAAATACCCTCAGATACTACAGGATGAGGAGGTGCTGTAAGAGGTATGAGTCAGTTAAGTACATGGTCACTCAGGAAAACACTGCATTTCCTTATTTCCCAGTTGTTACTTACCAGCACCAAATGGAACATATGCAAATTTCTCTGCCGCTGCTGGGTTATCTTGGAGATACCGGTCAGGCTTGAAGTCTAGAGCATCTTTCCATGAGTCCTTCAGTCTGTGGTTAACAGTGGGAGACACACAGACCTGATGGCCAGGAGGAATACTATACCCAGCAACAGTCTACAAGGCAGGGAGAGAAGAACCTAAGTGTTGCAAGAAAATTCTCCTTTCTTTTTAAAATAATACGTGAAAATTAATTAGGTCTCACAACAGAATTTCAAAAGAGATTTGGCTGAGTCCGTTTAAAATTAATGCAGTCTAATATGTCATTGTTTTAATTGTGCAGGGCACAGTATTCAGGCAACTGCAGAAAGCTTTCAGATGCTTTAACTAAACTGATGATTCTACAAGAAGAATTTTAAAAGACTGCTGCTGAATGAACTTAAGATATGTTGAAAACATTTTTAAAAGCTATCACTCCCCTGACAAATAACTTGAGGTCTGTCTTATTTATACAAACAACAACTTTTCTTTTACATTTACCTAGCATGTATTGTTAGGCAAGCACAAGCCAATTTTTTTCCAAGGTAACTTAACTTAAAAAAAAAAAAAAAAACACACACACAGGCAAACCACAGAGTCTTTAAATGGTAGTACTAAATTAAGAACTCCAGAGACACTGATGGCTAAAAGAAAGAGTCAGTTCCACCCAGTAGGACCAAGCAGGAATATGGGAGTGCATCTTCCCCTATCTAAGTAAGTGGGATGTGGGACTACAAATTAAGACTTTCATCAGTTACCACCACCACAGACTTTTGCATATCTTCAGAAACCTTTAATAATAAAATAAAGCAAATCCTGAGGCACAGCTAGTATTTCAATTTTAGCAATTTTATTTTTTTTTAAGCTCCCATCATCTTTTATCCTTAAATTTAATCTAGAAGGGTATCATTCAGGATAAAAAAAGACAGACTACGATTAATTACAGTAGCTTCTTTCTAAAGAGGCAAAACTTATTCCTGTGATGCTATTGTTAGAATACAGGTCGACATTCCTAACTAGGTTACTGTCCTTGCCTAGCTAACCTCACCTTTTGGCCAGCAGGAAAGATTAGGAACACAGGAGTGGCTGAGGGATGTGTTCTTGTTGGTATTTTTTTTTTCCCCACCTGAGCAGCACGATACCCCAGCCCCCTGCTTCCCCAAAAGACACCACCAGCACACAATTCTTGTGCAACACGAGTTAGATGCTAGCTGCACCTTGCCAGTGTTACAGTTGCATCTGGTGGTGGACTAGAGAAGCGGACTGCATATATGCAGTTGTTTTGTAAAAAGCTAGTTGGCTGTAATTATTTGATGTGCAGCTAAGGAATATGCTATGCTGAGGGAGATTAACATAGCCGTTTGCACATAATCACCAAGAAAGAAAAGAAAAGTTCTCTCACCCTTTGCCTTTTAGTACAAATTTGCATCAAAAAGTGTGACAATTTTGATCTGTTCATCCAGAACACAGAAATACAGGAAGTATAATACCTAATGCGAATATAAGGCATATAAAAACCCCACAACATACCTGGAAAAAGGTTACTCAAGAGGAAATTCAAGAATTAAAGACGAGACAATATGATATACTATGATGTCACACAGTCCAAGCAGAGCTCCAGTCCCACAAAAAATACATGCAATAGCAACAGAAGTGTAAGTGGAAACAGATCTATAGATTGGCTGGGGGGCTGGACTCAACAGGACTACTTTAAGAGGTACTGAGTACTGGCATCAATGTATGTTCCTAACACATTGAAAAAAATAGGATGATTAATGCTAAGAATTGACTAAATAGGACTAAGGTAATTCTTGTTGACATAGCACAATGTCAACAAGATCTGACCCAGTAGTAAGAAGAGGTATCAGTACAGGTGAGTGGTTAAACCTAATCAGGGACTAGGAACTAGTCTAAGTAAGTAGTTCAGTACATCCTGGGATGCCACTGGCCATCACTGCTGCCAGGATGCACCGCTCACTTGTGTTCTGCCCTCTCTCAGCTGAGGCACCCCCAGCTCTGCCTGGCCTTTTCTGCCTATCTGCTCTCCAGGCAGTCAGTCTGTACCACTGTAGGGGTTAGTCCATCCCAGCTTCAGAACTTCGCACAATTCATCAAGGACAAATGTGAAGTTCCTCTCGGCCCATTCCTCTTGCCTGCCTCAGTCGCTCTGAATAGCCCTGCTTTACTGAAGTGAAGTTACATCCAGTAACTGTACTCACTTGAGGAGTTTTGGCCATTCTCATCATAGTCATTATAGGCGGTCTCAGCCGTAAAGTTTCTTTTAGACAGCGATCCAGCAAACTGAGATCCTTCAGCTGCAAATATAAAGAAAATGATCTATCAAAATATAGTCAAGTTTATTCAACGTGCACAAAAAGGTATTTTATACCATTTTAAAATTCAAAGAATAAGCACCTCATTTACATGTACTTTATTAGCTACCCTGATAAATTTCTGCTTTTTCATTTAATTCAACTAAAAAATAATTCTCTGACCAGTAGAATCAATAATGGCTAGTTCCTTATTGATCTGTCTCAGAGGTGTTTTCTGATGCCTCATTGAAGAAAAAAAAGATCACACTGCATCCTCTTCCTCAGTGGGAATACAAAGGTCTTCCTCCTCTACCCAGTTGGATCATTTTAACAGAGTTTATAGGAACTGTAATTTCTTTGATCAACACTAATATAAAATAGTAGCAGGTTGAAAAGCTACTGGAAAAGGAGGAGATGGAGGAAACACATTGGCAAACAGCATCACCACAGAGTGCTTATGACAGATTACGATTCTATTACAAAGCATACTTTTTATTACAAAGCATTACATTTTTGCAAGTGTCTGCAATATAAAAATATCCAGCAGAAATAACATAACATACGTACGTGTTCATAAGTTAATGGCGGCAAGTCATCTCCACAAACTGCTTTCTGTTCTGCATAACACTTTTCCTGTATTGACTTGTCTCTGGCTAGGAAGAAGCCAAGCCAGGCACTAGTGGTGGAGGACGTGTGCTGCCCTGCTAACAGCAACCCAATAAGCATGCCAGCAATTTCGTCATCTGTCAGGAGACGGCCGTCCCTAGGTTAAAGGACAATATGTTAGAGCTTCATTTGATGAGGTTTCCAGTTATAGTTGTGTATACAATTTTGACCAATTTAGTTTTCTTTCTCTTAGGCTGCCCACTCCAAGTGGAACAGCAGGGAGCGACAGATGCTCTGGGAAGCTTACATTACTGGAAGGCCAGAAATGAGAAAGGAAGCAATCATTCAATCACTGATGATAACCTCAGGAAGTCTGAATAAGCATTTATAATTAAACTTGTGAAGATTTTTTAGAATAGAACCAATGCTGGCAAGAAAAGGCAAGAAAAAGCAAATGCAGCACATCAGATTTTTTTTTTTATTTTTGGGGCAGGGGGGAGTAGATAGGTGCAACTGAAGAATTCAAAGCTAAAGCATAACTATCTCTCAATGGCAAGTCTTCAATCCTTTAGCTTACTTATAGGAAGCATCAAGTAGAGTTTGGAGCATGTCATCTTCCTTTTCCTCAGACTTCCGACGTTTCTGGATAACCTTATAGAAGATATTCTTTATTTCTCTGTGCGCTCGATCTCGTCGTCTGCAATTCAAAGCATCTGTATTAGCCACTTTATACAAAGTAACATATAAAATGCTCATGAAGATTTCCTGGGATGTCTAAAACATCCTTACAAACAAGAAATTGGGGGAGGGGGGGGAGCCTAAATGTTATTTTTGGTACCTGAAGCTAGGAAGAGGTAGCCAACCTGGCAGAAGCCAGGCAGCATGAGTAAATCCCCCATCCAAATCAGCATACAGCTGAGCCACCTTCTCATTCAGTAAGCTTCTTATTTCTTTCCCATGTAAGCAATGACTTGCTGTCAAAATGATTAGTTCTGAAAGGGCTTCAAACAGATCTGAGGAAAGATTTGAAAAAAAACAGTGAGAATACATTTCATGGGAGACAGTAAGTCTCACAGGTTGCAAGCTATTTTTATTTTGTAGAAGAAGAAAACTAAGTAAATAAACACAGATTCGTAATTTTAGATAGAGTTTTAGCTTGTTTTCCTAGTAAAACTTGGACTTTTGTGTGTCTATCCATCTCTCTACTAATAACATTTTTAACTAGGCTGCTGACTTCAACCTTTTTCTAAGATATTTTTTCTAGGAAACGTGCAAGGAAAGCTATTAATCCTTCCATACAAAGGAAAACTATGCAGCACAAGCTCAATCCTTACTACACATACAAGAAGTCATACAGGAACATAACTTTGAAATGCAAATCCACGGTCAACCAGTTAATTTGGCTGCTCATTAAACTACTTTGAGTATTTCTGAATTTGTTCTTTCACTATTGTCTTGCAAGAATAGCAATGGGATATGCCCAGCAGGCTAACTGAGAAAGCCAGGTAGAAAATAAAAGAAGAATCCCACTCAGATCACTATTTACTCACATGAAAATCCAGGAATCACCACCACAATGGCCAAATCCCCCTAAATCAACTGAAACACATACTGTATCTTTACACAAGTACTTCCTATCAACCTAACCTTATCAATCTTAAGCACGCAGGTCTTCAGTGTAGATGATACCCGGGCTAAGATTTCACATGAGTTCTGAGAAGGCAGTGCAGTTTTTTTTTTTTTTTCCTTCCCCTAGGGACTAAGAATGGTTACAGTCAACTGACTCATATCTTGGAAAACTAGCATGATTCAAGCCAGGCAATACGTACAGAGTTTATTCCCACACTAAGAAAGAATGAGTAAAACTTCTCTTCATCAATGAAGAGAAAAAAAAAAAAAAATCAATGAATCAATGAATTTCTGAGCAGCTGTATTCTCCCAGAGCCTTAAATTTGAGTAAAAAAAAAAAAAAAAAAAAAAATTATCTTGTATGTTTCTTCTGATGTCCAATAGAGATTAATCTATGTCATTTTTTATTCCTTTAATAATGCTGCAGTAAATTCTTTACCAAAAAAAATACAAAACCCACATCCTGCATTGGCCTTCATTCCTTCACAAAAAACCTGAGTGAAAAGGTATTTTATCTGGCTTACTCTTTTCTCCGCTCTCTCCCCATGTTTTGAAATACTCCTTTGTTTCTTCTTCAATCACAGACACATGCTGTTTAAACTGGCCAATATTTAGGCCAGTTTTGAGCATCTTCTTCTGCTCCAAGAACACCTAGAAGAACCAAGATGGAAGTAGTACTCAGTATAAGGATCATCATATTAATGTAATTAACAATTCGTTATTTTTTTGTACTGTAACAAGATATAAAAGGAAAAAGAAATTAGGATTAGAATTGGCAGGGTACAGCAGATATTAAGATTTGAGTAACAGATAACATTCTGTGTTTCACCTACTTTTTTTTTTTTTCCCCCAGACAAATGTCTAATGATATCCAGACAAAATACTAGCTTAAAGGAGCTACAATTCCTTTTTCTACAGCACCAAAATAGAAAATTCTTTCCTTTTTAAGCTTTAACAATGAAGATACAAGATGCATCCAGCATTAACATATCCAATACACTTTAGACACATGATTAATAACTATATACATAATCCCAAACCTATTCAGACCTGTCCTGCAAGATCTGCATTCAGCCTGCGTTTCACATTCCGCAGCCTCCTGGCTTCATCTTCCCCCAGTTTCTCTCTTCTCCCATGCTGTAACACCTTACTTCTAATCCTGAATTGCACCTTTCCTTCCCAACTCCCTCTGATCTCGCTGCCCAGAGAGTGAGACAGAAATAGGAAGCCAACTGCTTCCCAGGGAAGTGATGAGCTTCACGCCCCCCTTAACTTTCTCTCTTTTAGATGGTTTGTAAACCATCTGAACATCTTTGTTTTACCATCTCTGGTAAAACAAGAAATAGGATCAGGACTGATGAATGGCCTAACAGCAAATAATGTAGCCTACACATGTTCAGTCTTGCTCATCCAACTGAAACTATTTATCAGCTGCATCATGCTTTGCTGTCAGAATTCCGTATGAACAATAAAACGCATCATATAGAACCAAAAGCTCATGGCTTCCTAATCAGAATTTAAACATCTTACCCTTCTACACATTTTCAGTTTAAAACACATACCATATTAGGGACATCATACGCAACTCCCTTGCCAAAGACTGGGGTGGTTAACCGAGAGTATACATCCTCTGCATTCAAATCTTCGTTTTTACTATTGAAGAGTAGAGCAGCAGCATCACTGCCCAGAAGGTACGTGAACGTCTTGCCAACCATAGTGAAACTGAAGACAGGCCCATACTAAGAGGAAAAAAAAATACCAGTTCATTTTACATAACATGAACGTGTACCATAAAAATCACGGTCTCTTGTGTTTCATATGATATTACCTATTTAATATATGACAACATTACTTCAGTGCAGCAATTTCTGTGGCTTGAGACTGACTGTCTCCAACTACAAATCTGATATGCACATGCACCTACATAATACACTGGAAGTGTCACATGCGTAAGTAGCAATGAGGCAGAAGGAAAGAAAAGAAGAAAAAGAAAGGGAAGCTCTACAGAGGAAACTGGCACAAGTCACTATTCCCCTAAGAAGGGTCTAGAGATATAATATGAATATAAATATTTTAAACTACATTTAAAATTAGTTTTCTGTATTTTAGACACTGCAAAATACATCAATAAGTTTTACTGCACGGTAATTAAGGCTCTACTGCATTGACTTGTTTCTTTTTTTCTTTTGGACTGTTTAAATTACCGTGCTTTTATGCACCAACACTTTACCATTGCAAAGGACCTTAAAATCCATAACATGATGTACAGAGGAAGTGAGTTACTATAGTCCGACCTGGTCTCAAACAGAATAGTAAAGAGTGAGATTAAAAGACCACAAGTAAGGAAAGAAATAAAGTTATAAAAAGGCTTTTTAATTACTTGTGGTTCAACTACGAACATTACCTGAATACACAGATATATTTTTCCAACTGACTCACAAGAGATATCACAGAAAATGTGGCTTTTTCAGAAACGAAGTTGCACTGTATATAAACAGATCTCCAAAAAAAAAAAACCCAGCCTACTGTGGATGTTTCATACCATACTCAAGACAGCTAATGAGAATGAACTTTTTTTAAGCAGGTCTGAAACACTGAACTTAGCAGGTAAGCACGAATATTTTAGCATATGCTCAGGCAGTCACATGGGAGAACACACCTGTTCATAAGCATTTTCCAAAAATTCAATGGGACTTTTTCCAAACGCTATCGCATGCCCCAGGAAAGGGATGCCTGACGAAATGTAAGGTGGGTATTTCTGAGGAAGAAAAAGAAAAGCAAATATTGTACTTTCTTCAGAGCACAATAAAACGGCACATTCATCCACGTAACAACCAAACACAAGAGAGGCTCTCTATGTATTTTAAGTTCTTTTGTGAAAAACCCAACTTCGGACGACTAATTTATTTTCTTAATACGGTACGACCGGGCAGCAGAGATTGAAATAAGCATTCTCGCTAACCTGCCCCTGAAATTAAAGCACGCAGATATCGCCACCGAAAAGCAGCCAGTCAAAAAACAAACACGGAGTAATGATTAACTGACTCCCGAAAGCACCAGCCTCGATTTAGGAAGAGATTTCATGCGTAGGTGGAAGCATTCCTTTCACCTTCATTCACGCGGCAGTAACGGGCACGGGCTTTGCCTCCACCAAACCCACGCAGCTCGGTCCCGGGTGGCACCAAGCAGCTGAGGGCAGGGTCGAGCCCGCGCAGCGTCCCCGCCA